TCCATCCATTCGTCCATCGTCCGTCATCCATCCATTCATCATCCATCCAACATCCATCCATCATCATCCATCCATCCATCTATCATCCATCCATCCAACATCCATCCATCCATCTGTCCGTCCTTCCGTCATCCATCCATTCATCATCCATCCAATATCCATCCATCATCCATCCAACATCCATCCATCCATCATCCATTCATCATTCATCCATCCATCCACCCATCATCCATCCATCCATGTCAGTGAAGACCAATGTAGATGAACTACAGGCATTAAGGAACCTCAGGATAAGGGAAAGTAAAAGCAAGTTCTTCAAATGAGAGCAGGTATAGAGTTGTGCATGGAGGAAATGGGACCTGGCTGGGCTTCAAGGACAAGCACTCCATAGGTCCAAAGGTCTAAGCACCTACACGAAGAAGAAGGCAGATTCTGGGAGGGTTTTTGTATCAGTATACTCGTGCAGATAGATAGCTGAGTGTGGTACAGAGAAATGGAACAGTGCCACCATGCCACACAAGGTGATAAGGAAATAAAATGAGTCTGGCAGGGCTCAGGGGCACAGGGAATTAAGGTTTGACCACATCAGCATTGATTCATCACTCAGAGCACAGTCACCCGGCACAGGATCCTGAACCAGGACACCATGGGCTGAAACGGTGTCGCAGCGTAGCATGGCGAGGGCATAGCCCTGCATCAGTTACCAGGACACCCCTGGGCTAAGCTGACTCAAGGAAAGAACCAATGTGAGTGTTGCAGGAGGCCACCGGTGAGTAGGGGGCACTAGCTTGGTAAGCATTTCTTCTCCTTGGCGTCACTTAACTACTGAAGGCCTCGGAACTTAGGATAGGAGACGTCCCCTCTGCAGTGTGGGGAAACAGTCAGCTAACTCCGAGGCTATGACACGAGGTTCTGTCTTTCATGACCGGAAACGTCTGAGGGCCCCCACTTCCTCTTCCTCACTTTGCTTGCCCAATTAGCCAGGGTCAGAGCTTCCTGCCTTCCAAGGGAATGTTCCAGACCAGCTCTGAAGGTCCAGGTTTAGAGCTTGGCCCTCGTTACAGAGATGCTTAATCCCAGCCTGTAAGGGCTTGTCTATACTCTGATCACACCTGGGGAAAGATCCAGCGTCCTCACAGCTGCTCTCAGATGCCCCCTGAGTCTTCTTGTCCCAGTCTCTCTCAGATGTGGCTCCTCCTTACTTTGTGTGAGGCTTGCCTCATGCCTGCCATTTCCCTAATTTGTATGAGGAGGAAATGGAGCAAGCCTTTCTAGAGTGATTTTTTTTTTAAATGATAGTCTCATGGTAGAAGAAGCACATTACTCTCTTAGCTGGAAATACCACTAATGTACACATGAGCAGAGTCAGTAAGAAAATGGATGTACCGGAGAAACTAATTCCCACGGACACTTTGATGCACGGTAAAGAGCTTTGGAGCACTGAACATCCAGAGTAGTGACAAAACACTCACTTCCTCTTTCTCTGGGCTGTTCCTCGATTCCACCTCTACCTGGAGGGAAATGGTCTCACCAATGCTCTTCCTCTTGGACAAGCGATCTTCATCTGGAAAAGAAGAGCCCAGGAGCTGGGATTCCCAGTCCTTGCTAAGCCACTGGTCCCACCCTCTGTGCCTTGGTCCACAGCCCTCAATGGCTCAGTACATAGGTAGGCTACACTTAGAGCTTCCAGAAGCTTCTATCTGCTGTGGGCTTTCTCCACCCATCTTAGGGCGGTCAGGTTGCCTCTTTGGATTAAGATTTTTGCAACCATGTGTGGAAACAAAGACCAGAAAGCATATCTCAACTAGCATAAGCTGACTGCATCCACTAATAATAATCACCAGTAATAATCATGTGTGCAGTGTTCCCTGGGAGCTTATGACTTCATTACTCCATACACCTCCACATAACCCTCTAATTGTAGTCAAGTAACTCGGGGATTTTCAGAGAGTTGCCCAAGGTGTTTTTAGAGAAGTAAGTAGGACAGACATCTTGAAATGGGCCCCTGGTTCTATAGCCCATGTGTGCTCTTTCCAATACTATGGACCAACCCTTCATAAGCCAGGTTATCTCACAGCTCAGTTGCTTTCTGAGATTCCAAACAGAGGAGGAAGAGCGTCAAAATAGGAATTGCACCATAAATTCTGCTACGTCTTTCAGCTCTTATATAACTTCTAAGAGGCCACCACAAGTGATTCAGGGGTCCACACCCCCTTACTCTAGGGCTCTCACCTGGCAGGGAAGGCAGAGGTAGGTGGGAGGCTTTGCCCAGAGCTCATACCTGTCAGCTGAGGGATGTAGGGCAGGCAGAGCCTGTCTGAATTGTAACCGCTTCCTCCCAGGACTTCACTGATTTTACTCTGACGGAAGAGAAGCTCGATCACCACGCCGTCTAGATTTTGAGACAGCCTGAAGGACAAAGAGGCAGAGCAGAACCGTGGGCAGCTAGAACAATTCCTGGATGACTTTATCACAATAGCAATATCGTGACTGTGCAAAATGACAGAGAAATAGAAGAAAATCCCCCTAGTCCCTTTTCCAAGGGCACCCACTAGCCTACATTTTATGCGGAACCCTTCGGTTGCATACATTTGTGCCCACAGATGAATGTTCCCTTCCCTAACACACTGTCCTGTGACTAATTTTGGGTGCGTGCATGTGTGTGTGCAGATGCACATGTGTGCACACAGATATGTGGGGACCAGAGGTCAATGGAGAGGCCACAGTTCAGAAGGTTAAGTCCTGTTGCCGGACACCTGGTATTTCAGAGTATCTTTCTCTTGAGCTCCTCTCGTGTGGAAGCCATACTGGTCCACAGCACTGTCTGAAGGCAGCTGAAGGCAGGAGCCTGTCAGGGGTGACCTCTCTAGGCTGCACTCCCCCTGGGTTTGATCAAAGCTGCTGGAGACTGCATGACCTATGCGGGACAACACTCCCAGCTCATCAGAGCCTGCCCGAGGCTTGATGGTAGGGCAGCCGTGGACGGAGAACGGCAATGGGATGGGGGTCAAACTCTGCTCAGGGCTTGGCGACCTCAGGCAGGGTCTAGGTCCCCTGATGTGTGTCCTTGCCTGGCGTCATACTGCCCACTCTCCCGTTCTGACCACACCCCCGGTACCGTTCTTACCTGGGCCTTTCCACAAACACGTCTTCGGGAAGCATGTATGGCGCTTCTTTCTTCCTGGTCTCTATGACCTGGAATTTTGGAAGGGAACAAATGATGAGATCCGGGTCCAGCAGGAGCGAGGAAGAGCTGCAGCCTCCCTTTCAGGGTCCTCCTCCACCCAGCATCCTTGGAGATGCAACACACAGAGCATCTCCAGGGAGACTCCAGATTCCCCAGTCGCCGTCAGAGCGGCCCTGGGGAGGGGAGCTGCTGCTCAAGATGTCGTCACTGATGACGCACATCGTGTCACGTGTCCTCAGAGTGCGGGGCACTGCATTCCTAAGAGGCTGGGCTTTCTTAGTCCTGGGCTTCCAACTCACGCCAGGGAAAAGGGAATGCGGGTAGCGCCACATGCCGAGTCTGGCTGAGGTAAAAGTCTGGCTGATGGGCACTGGCGGCTTGAGAGGCTTGAGATCTCCCCCATAGCCTTCGTCAGTGTTTTTGGAAGAGCTGTGAAAGCCACCTAAGTGGCGAGAAGCCGGAGATAGACAGTATGCAGGTGTGTGAGTGTGACGTGGCAACAGCCCCGCTCTTTCCAGTGAAGGGGACTTCTTGTGCTTCCTTATCGGCCTGGAGCCGGTGAGAGTCCAACACTCTTGGGAAGTCTTTGGTACAGTGGCACAGCACCTGCCCTCATGTCCCCAAGCCAGCTTAGGCCAGCAGAGACCTGGAATCTTAAAGTTAACCTTAGACATCCTACGAGCCCACCTAAAATACTTAAAAATTTTAAGTCAGAAAAAAATCCTCACATATATGAATGTTTTGCCTGTATGCAAGTATATGTACTAGGCTCATATGTCCGGTATCTGTGAAGGCCAAAAGAGGGTGTGAGATCCCCTGGAAATGGAGCTATAGACAGATTGCAAGCTACCAGGAGAGAATGGAACCCGGGTCCTCGGCAAGAGTGGTCAGTGTTCTTAACTGCTGAGCCATTTCTCCAGCCGCCTTCAGGAGGTTTTAAAAGACCTTTATGCAACTGCCGAGACTGATGGACTAGACTGGCTACTAGAGAACAGCAAGGCAGGGAGAGATTCAAAATGAATTAGCTAAGTGACAACGTGGCAGCCTTGGAGGGAGATGCCACTGTTCCTTCCCTCTCTCTCTCCCGATTCATACGGACAGGTAGGTTAAATTCATGCAGAGGGAGCTGGGATTTGCGTTAGAATATTTCAGCAGAGGAAAAGAAGATGATCCTGATAAGGAGATGTGAGAAATTCTGACAAGTATTTAATTTATGTAGCTGTGGCTCACAGTTCCACTTTTGCTGTTGTGGTACTGGAGGGTGTTCATGACAAAATCCTTGTCTTTTTTGGGACAGGCTTCTTTGCTGTTTAAATTATTTGGCACGTGTGCCATGCCTGTGTGTGTCCATGTGTCCGTGTGTCTGTGTCTGTGTCTGTGTGTCCGTGTCCGTGCGTGTGCGTGTGCGTGTGCGTGTGTGTGTGTGTGTGTGTGTGTGTGTGTGTGTGTGTGTGTGTGTAGGGGAATGCACACACCACAGTTATGTGTGGAGGTTCTGGGAGTTGGTTCTTGCCTTCACTTTGTCGGGACCGGGTCTCTCTGGCTTTTGCCACTGCGCTGTATATTCCAGGCTAGCTGGCCCACGAGCTCATGTCTCATTTTTTGTCTCTGACTCCCATTTTGCCATTGGAGTGCTGGGATTTAGGTGTGTACCACTGCATTTGGATTTCTTATATGAGTTCCAGGGTCGCACTCAAGTCCATCAGGCTTGCTTGTCAAGGGCTTTTACCCTAAGATATTTCCAGTGTTGTCCAGACTGGGCTGGGCTGGATATCCTCTATCACCAGCCTCTTGGATGGCTGGGACGACAGGTCTCTATCACCATGCTCAGCTTCCTAAAATTTTTTTTGGTGGGGAGGGGGTCTCATGTAGCCCAGGTTTGGCCTTAGGCTTGTTATGCCAAGGTCTCCTTACCTCTGAGACTTCTTGATTATAGGCTTATGTCACCATACCAGATTCATGTGGTCTGGGAATTGAACCCAGGGATTTATGTATGCTACAAAAGCACTCTATGATCTGAGTCACATCCCCAGCTCTTCTTCAAACTCCTCTCAAGTTGCTTCCATCCACATAGTTGGAGGAGTGTGTGTCATGTGCTTCCTGAGGACAGTGGGTAGGGGGCAGGTGTAAGAGACCCCTTTACTGGGGAGGCTGAGGACTGAGGATCTTTAGGCCTATGTCTAATGCTCAAGGGCTCACTGAGTTCTCAGGATCACGAGGACACCCACCTCGTGGATGTGCTGGCAGAAGGCAGGCACCGTTGTGAGCTGGCTGATGAGGTTCAGGTAGGCTGCACCCAGAGCGTAGAGCGCACAGCGGTTATAGGTAGGCAGATTCTCTTCATTGACTTGGGCCACATCCTGCGGTAACATAGACAGGCTTCCGGAGTTTTTCCCTGACAAACCACACCAAAGTCTACACCCTCCCACCTGACCTCTCCTCAGTCTTCCTAGAGATGGCTCATCTTTCTAGACTAAATCTTTGACCTAGAACCTTCTGGGAGGCAAGGGTCATCCTTATAAAGCTAGAGAGCATGGTCCCTGGAATAACCCATGAGCTGGAGGCTCGTGAATCCCTACTAAGCATAGAGGCAATAACCTCATGTCACCACTCTGTTGTTTCAGCTGTGGTGACCACCACTGCCCAAACCCTCCTCATTAGCAGTAACCCTACCATTAGCTGCCATTTCTTTCAGCAAAGTTAAAGCTTAGACAACTGGATTGTCTTGTTAAATTGGGTCCATACGCTAAAAGTTGTGGGAATCACCAGGAGACTGGGACTCAAAGGAGTCCCAAATTCTACCTCTTGGGTAAACAAAGAAAATCGTAACATCTAGGTTGGCCTGCAGGATCTGGCATGGTCACAAAGATGACCTAAGACACATGTCACTAAGTTCAAGAATGTGATGGCAACTTGACTTCAGGACCCAGGAGACTGGAGCCTTTGAGGTCTGAAGGACCCACCTCAACTTGTGTGGCAATGCACTAGTATCCAGGCAGACCCTGAAGGTCTCAGGTCCTACCTAGTACCACACTGGCTGCCTATGAATCCCAACAGAGGCTTGTTAAAGACACAGGTCCCAGGCTTGGGACACAGGCTTTCCAGTTTGGGTAATGTGCATTTTTTTTTTTTTTTAAACAAGCACCAGTGGCAATTCTGAACAAGTAAGTCTGAGAATGAGAGAATTTTTAGATGAACACATTTGTTTCAGGATCACCTGGGGGCTTTTGGATGACCCCTTGGGAATTTTTGGGGTGGTACTCAGACCCTGTGAGGTGGTGATTCTGGGTGACCTTGTGTCCTCTTTACCTTAATGATGAACAAGAGCCATGAATTACTTTGTTTCTGGGGCTTCCCAGACAAGAACATGGTTTGGGGTCTTCATGGAGGAATGACCAACCAACGTACAATGTCCCCAGACAAACAACTGCCAAGCAAGTTCAGAAGAGTATCTCTATTTGTACCTGCTAGACAGACCCCTCCCTGTGACGCTCTTCCGGTATTCCCTACATCCGACACTCCCCACATCCGGTATTCCCCACATCCGGCACTCCCCACACCAGGCCCCTCCCTATGATGTTCTTCCGGCACTCCCCACATCCAGCACCCCCCACATCTGGCACTCCTCACATCTGGCACTCCCTACATCCGGCCCCACCTGAACGGCCAGCACGAGTCGGATGAGGTCCACCATCACCTCCTCATTGGCCAGCTCAATGCTGATGAGTGCCAGCAGGCCATAGAGCGCCTCGTAGTGCTTCTGGATGTTGGTCTCCTCCTTACAGCTCAGGTAGATGTGTCTGTACAGCTGCTGGGAGTGCTGGGGGCAGGAGCAGGGGCAGAGGACAGCGGCGGTCAGTGGGGTGAACCCAGGGTGGGGGGCAAAGAGAACTGGGGAGGAAGGCCCATCTGAAGGGAGGTGATCGCTGTGTGTAGTACCCATCTCCATCCTCAGCAACTGGTTAATCTGGTCAATTGAAGAGGGGAGGAGGCAGGCTCTGGGACCAGTGGTCCAACAGTGGCTTAGATGCTGGAATACTGGGACTAATAAACCTGACCTCTGCTGGGGCTCTCTGTGTCTTCTGGTCATATTCACCTTCTTCATGAAGACAGTGTCCTGCCGGGAGCATTTGTCCACTTTCAACTTCAGGACCGAGATGTCACCGAGGGTGCTATGAAGGGACAGAGGAGCCTCTTAACCCCTGTGTGAGGCCAACCTGAGTTCACATGGTGTCACCAAGCTTTATCCCCAGCGCCGTAGGTTGGCCTTGGCTCTTAACCCAGTCTCCATGTTCTCCAAAGCTCTCACATTCCTGTTTCTTTCTCTTGGGTGCACACTCTCTCCAGCCCCCAGCCAGGGCACAAGCACGCTCTGGCTCATGCTCTCCAGGACCAAAGCCAGGGATGAACTCTATAGTGAGTCTCACTGCGTCCAAATTGTCCTCCCACCTGGGTGTGAGGTTACTGGCCAAGAAGACAGGTCTCATTGGGGGGCTCCCCCCTCACACATCCACCGGAGGAGAGATGTGGAGCTCACCTGATGGTAGAGAATTTGTGGCGGTTGCCATGGCGATCAATGAAGCTGATGAGAATCTCTAGGACGAAGAGGCGGATTTCTGCATCTTCCATGAGGGCGGTGGAGAGAAGGCGGTCAAGGAAGTTGCTGGGCAGGGCTGACATCATGTTGTTGCACTGGAATCCTGTGGATACCTGGGAGGAAGCCCGGGACGGGCGTACTTAGGAACACTGTCTCTCTCGGTGTAGAGATGAGATGAAGAAGCAGCCAGAATTCTGGTGTAAAGTGTCCCATTCTCTGCACAGAGTCCCCTGGAAAATCTACTCAGGGCAGCTCAGTTGACATGTATGGGGAGAGTATGCAGGGGCAGCAAGTGCTGAAAGTGAGTAAAGGACGAGCACTAGAGAAAGGCAAGAGTCAGGGACTCCCTCAAAGTTCTAGCTGGCCAGGGAACAACTGGTGAACGGCCAGCTGTTTTGTTACAAACGCTTTAAGACTAGGAGTCACAAGAACTTAGAGGGCAGAGGAACTAACTCACAGCTGGGTGGCAGAGTCCGTTTGCGTACCCGACAGTCAGCACAGCACTGTGATAATGGCGCCTTCCGACTCAAATCAGTCGGCACAGGTAGGTACATCATGCATGATGCCAGATGCTCAAGAGTAGCAAAAGGCACTTTCTGTTAAGTCCATACTGCAGAATGGTACCTCTGAGGATTCGGAAGGTTTCCATGGAGCCAGCCCAGCCCCAGAGCATCAAATGTTCTCTGAAGGGGCACATGAGCGTCCCCCAGACGGTCACATAAGACAGTGGGTGCAAATTAACAAGGGTCAACTCGGCAAAACTGCGGGGTTACAAAGACCAAGGAGAGAATAGACAACTAGATACGGGAGGTATAAGAGCAAAAGGGCCGGGTGGGGGTGGCACACGCCTTTAATCCCAGCACTTGGGAGGCAGAGGCAGGCGGATCTCTGTGAGTTCGAGGCCAGCCTGGGCTACAGAGCGAGATCGAGGAAAGGCACAAAGCTACACAGAGAAACCCTGTCTGGGGGTGGGGGGGAGCAAAAGAGCTTTGGGAAAGGACCCTGAGTGGGTGAGTGGGGCGGGAAGTATACTCAGTGGAGGGGCGTTTGCCTAACGTGTGAGGTCCCGGGTTCAATCCCCAGTGCTACCAAAGCAAAGCAGCCAAACAAATGCAGTAGAGGATGAGGGTAGGAGAAGAGGGAAGAGAAGGCGTACATGGAGTGAGGGGTCTGTACAGACTGGCGTGCTGGGAACAGAGACCGGAGCTGGCTGGTGCAAGGAACAGTCTAGAGCAGTGGTTCTCAACCTCCCTAATGTTTTCTCACGTCGTGCTGACCCCCAACCATACAATTATTTTCATTGCTACTTCATAGCTATAATTTTTTTTTCTTCCTGAGACAGCGTTTCTCTGTGTAGTTTTGGAGCCTATCCTGGATCTCGCTCTGTAGACCAGGCTGGCCTCGAACTCACAGAGATCTGCCTGGCTCTGCCTCCCCAGTGCTGGGATTAAATGCCTGTGCCACCACCGCCCGGCTAATCTTGCTAATGTTATGAACTGTAATGTAAATATCTGTGTTTTCCAATGGTCTTAGGCGACCTCGGTGAAAGGGTCTTTCAACCTCCAAACGGGTCATGTCCTACAGGTTGAGAACTGCTGGTCTAGAGAGAGGAAGGCCACTGGGAACTTTGCTCGGAAAAGTCTGAAAGTTAGATGTTCATATTAGAAATTGAGATCTCCTCTGAAATAAGGAGAGAACTGGAAATGGTATTTCCAGAAAATTCACCTGGTGTTCATGACGGTTGAAGGTGGACATAGAGACATTGAGGAGAATAACCTGGTCATGAGATGTCCAAAGTTTAGGCTAGGGCAGGGAGCTTGCTACAAAAACAAATTTCAAAGCTGGGTATGGCAGTGAACGTATTTCTGCAATCCCAGCACTTCGTGGGTCCGAGGCAGGAGGATTTTGAGTGTGATGCCAGCATAGGCTATGTAAAGTTCAAGGCCAGCCAGGGCCACAGAGGGAGGCCCTAAATAAATCACACACACACACACACACACACACACGCACGCACGCACGCACGCACGCACGCACGCACGCACGCACACACACACGCGCACGCGCTCGCACACACACACACACAAATACAGGTTTTCAGAATCTCATGGTGGCTGACCTCTCACACTCCCTACGGACCCTACATATTTGGCCCGCTGGCTGAGGGAATGGTGTTTGTGAACAACAGAACTAGACTCCAGCAATGAAGGCTGAGATGCAAAGAGGCGCATAGAAAACACAGAGGAAGAAGGTGGTGTCCGGAAGGTGACAGAGACATGAATGTCAATGGTGAATCGGGGGTGGGGGGGTGGGGGGGGAGGTGGTGAGCAGAGGGACAGGACCTAGGGAAGGGCACCAGGTGGGCAGTGAGGGAGGAGTCATCTCAAGACCCACCAGGTTATAGTGACTAGACTACCAATCGGCACACGGAATGACCATTAAAAAAAAAAAAGTGCCGGGCGGTGGTGGCACACGCCTTTAATCCCAGCACTCGGGAGGCAGAGGCAGGTGGATCTCTGTGAGTTTGAGGCCAGCCTGGTCTACAAAGTGAGTTCCAGGAAAAGTGCAAAGTTACACAGAGAAAACCTGTCTCAAAAAAAAAAACAACAAAAAAAAAGCATTAAGCTAGGCGTGGTGGTGCACGCCTTTAATCCCAGCACTCGGGGAGGCAGAGGCAAGCGGATCTCTGTGAGTTCGAGGCCAGCCTGGTCTACAGCCAGGGCTGCGACACAGAGAAACCCTGACTCAAAAAACAAAACCAAACAAAAAGAATTCCGTTTCCACTTGGCTCCGAACAACTTAGTGGAGGTCAGGCTGGGTTTCAGTCCCTCCATTACCCTCTTTAATAGCTGGGCGTCTGTGCAGTATGTAACACCCCTTTACTGCCTCGGTCCCCTGAAAGGAGCCATGTCCCACAGAGGCAGAGCTGGGATGGGCGTAGGAGGCGCTCACCTGAAGGAGAGATTTCAGCAGCATGATCTGGGTCAGCCGGTTCCTATTCTCCCTGTAAGCCAGAGATGAGCACTCTCAGAAGGATGGCAATAGGGTCCCCGCTGCGCCCCCCCCCCCATCAGTTCTGCCACCGATGAGTTTTCTCACCAGGAGGCTTATCTTGTTGGGTTACCCAGGAAGCCAGACCAGGGAACCCATGATTTCCCTGAAGTGAGGAGGGAGCCTGAGAAATTGCCGTGGGACCTACAACCCCCACTGTTGAGGGGTTTTGGAGTCAAGAGAAGACCCACAGAAGTAAGGTGGGTAACCAGGAACCAGAGAGTCTAGGTTGGGAGAAAGGCCGCGGACTAACCCTGTCCTTCCGGTCTCCACCGGGTGGTGCAGGGACGGTATCGGGACTTTGCTCATGATAAAGAGGATCACCTCCGAGCGCTGATAGGTGGGCAGCGTGCTGGCAAAAGAGCCTGTGAGGGAGAGAACAGAGCATTAGCTGTCCCCCAGGCTCAGTATATTAGTTGAATTGGGTAGAGAGTGAGGCTCACTGATGCCCAGGCAGACTGCTGTGAAATTGCCTCCTGGGGGAAGGGAGTGTGGAGGATCCTAGAGGACTCTTCTAGATCCCACTTCTTCCCTTGTTACTGAGGCTGTGGTCACAGCCAGGGCTCCTTCACTGGAGGACAGGGCCTGGGGCGCAGGGCAGCTCTCTGGTTTCATTGCTTCGGCCCTGACTCTCCGGCAATGAGTCCCTGGCATAGCACAGAGACCTCTGAGAGGGAGGAGTCCATGGTAATTGTGGTTTTATATTTCTCCAGGGCACAGATAGTCTCCATAGCTTTCTTCCTTTCCTCTTTGCTTCCTTAATCCCCACCTCCCCTCCAATGGCCCCGCCGTGGACGCACTAGGCACGCCTCATGAGGATGGGATCAACAGGAATAGTCTTCCTTTGCAGGAAGGCCTGGCGGAGAAACCCAGGGCCAGCCAGGCATGTGTATCATAGGCTGCCTCCATTTTCCCCAATGTCCGTAAATAACATAATAGCGCTAGACAGTCACACAGCAGATGCTACAGTAGAGGGAGGCGTGGTCCTCTTCCTCTTACAAGGAGCATCTCTAGTCTAGGTTCCACTCCACTCTCCCAAGACCCCTTCCTTTCCTAAGTTCCTTTCCGAGGCCCCAGACTAACTCCTCCCCCTAGAATTCTTCCCCTCTCCAAGCTTGGCCAGGGTCCCTCCTTTTAGCACCGCCATCCATGTCTTGAACCACCGGCCCTGCTCGACCCTGGCAACCTCTTCCCAGACTCTCATTCCGCTCCTAGCCTCACCGGGCCCCGCCCCCTCTTAAGTCCCTCCCCCAGAGCCCCGCCCTCCTCCCAGCCTCACCGGGTCCCTCCCCCAGAGTCCGGCCCCTTACCAAGCCTCCCCCACCATCTCCTCTGCCCGGGGCTGCCTTGGTTCCTAAGCTCTGCTCCCTTAGCTCCGCCTCCAGATCTCCTGAGCCCGCCCCCGAGCCTCCGTGGCCCCTCCCCGCCCCGCCCCGCCCCGCCCCCTCCCTACCGATGGTCTTGATGACCGCCTCCTGGAACATGCGCTCCTCATGCTCCTTGATGATCTTGGTCCCCAGGCTCACAGCGCCGTCGTAGCTCCCGGTTAGCGCGTAGTCGATGCTGAGCCGCAGCTGCCGCAGCAAAGTGTTGAACATCTCCAGCACCGTGGGCCCTGGGCGCCGGGAGGGAGGGACCCGCAAGTCAGGACGGGCATCCCTCCTGCTCTCCCTTAAACCCAAGCCCGCTCAGCCAGTCGGTCCTAAACCCAACGCCGGCTCCTCCCCCCTGCCCCTCGCCTTCTGCTCCGGACCCCCTTACCGACAGAGCCGGTGGCGGCGATAACCGCAGCTTCCGATAGGACCTCCACGATGCCGGCGCGCACGGTCGCCGCGCTGCGGCTGTTGGCGTCCAGGTGGCTCAGGAGCTGCTGGATAACCAGGTGGGAGTGCTGCGGCTGTGGGGGAAGGAAGACGTGATGGTCCCCAAATAACCACCCCAAAGGCAGCCTCCTGCGGGGACCCAGACGACATCCCACGGCCCGCGGACACTGAGGTGGCACCCAGACCGCGCACTCTTTTTCTGTCTTGCGGCACTCACCCCCAACCCCCAACCCAGCCCACAAACACCGAGCCAAATCCCGGGAAATGTGTTTGCACATTCTCCCCCCCTCCCCCGATTCCTTTTACTTCAAAAGGGACCAGAAATCCATTTCAAAATACTGTCTTCCATTTCTCCTTGTCCCTAGGTCTCACTGGCAAGGACCCCGAGAAGCCCCGTGGCTCAGCTGCGTGCTGCACAGTGTGGCTGGGGGGCCCAGTGCCAATGCACGAGCTGACTGATAACACCGCTTGCTGCGGAGAGGAGGGCGGGCCAGAAGGAAAGGAAGCCTAGCAGCCGGGAACGCTCAGCAAGCCAGGGCGTGCAAGGCTGCTTGTCTTTTTGCGCCATTTAATTTTTCTCTAGGAATTCGTTTTCGTTTTATTTCATCAAAATGCCGACCTCGGATGTACTAAACATTAAACTGGCCTCCCTTTTCACAGCCGGGTGATGACAGCAAGGTCTGCGGCCGCTAGGGTCTCTGGGGGAAGTCAGAGGACACGTGGCTTGGCACTTCGTGCACTGTCCCGCACCCGGAAGTGCCCTGGGGGCGTGGTAAGGGAGGGGGAATGATGAAATGAGG